CCTGTGATACTGGCATCCTGTAGGGGCACCAGTTCGTGTCTTGGCTGCTCTACTTCTGATCCAGCTCCCTGCTAATAGACTGGGAAAAGCAGCAGCAGATGGCCCAAGCGTTCAGGCCCCTGCCACCCATGTGGGAGACCCGGATGAAGCTCCTGGCTCCTTCATTGAGGCCACCTGGGGAGTGAACCAGTGGATGGAAGACTCTCTCACTCTGTCTTTTCCTTTCTCTTTGCAACTCTGACTTTCACATAAATAAATCTTTTAAAACAACGTGCATTTCAGATAAATACCTTTTACGCACCTTTTTAGTATAAGGGGCATGTTGGAAGATATACTCTTGACGTTCACCTCAATCCTTTTTGTGTGCTTTGTCAGAATTGGAGACATGGAAAAGAACCATTTACTCTTCTGAATGTGGATGGGGTCTGTCTTACACCTCTCTGACAGAAAACCACAGACTGGGCCATTCGCAATGAGAACAAATTTATTTCCCTTGGTTCTGGAGGCTGGGAGCCCAAGATCAGAGCGTCAGCTTCTCGTGGGAGCCTGCTTGCTGCATCATCTCAGGTCGTCAGCGAGCGGGTGAGAGAGAGCAAAGGCGAACTCGCAGCCTGCAGCCCCGCAAAATCAGCATCAATCCTCTCACGAGGGAAACACTCCAACCGTCCAAACACCTGCCATCAGGCTCCCTGTTCTACACGGCGACACTGAGGGTAGGGTTCCATCAGGCTCCCTGGTCTACACCGCGGGCACTGAGGGTAGGGTTCCATCAGGCTCCCTGGTCTACACCGCGGGCACTGAGGGTAGGGTTCCATCAGGCTCCCTGGTCTACACCGCGGGCACTGACGGTAGGGTTCCATCAGGCTCCCTGGTCTACACCGCGGCATTGACGGTAGGGTTTCCAGCTCATGTTGTTTGGAGGGCATGTGCCATACACTCAGTGCCTTTTCCCATTTTATTTGTTTGCACAAACGAGCAGGCAAACTCAGGTGCATTCCATTTGGCATAGCTGATGATACATTACCAGTGTAGACGCTGGACTCCTGACATTACATGACACATATTATGTTGAACGATTGAGTGGTTAATTTCATGCGCCAACGTGCCTGGCCCCAGGAAGCCCACATGAATTATGATTTTGGGTGTGCCTGGGAGGGTGTTGACTCAGTATGGAGGACTGCCCTCCCCAGCATGGAGAGCAACATCCCAGAAGATGAGATCCTAAATAGGACAGGGGGTGGAGGAAGGAGAAATTTGCCCACTTTGCTCCCTGCCTGACTGCCTGGGCTGGGCCACTTGTCCTCTCCTACCCCTGGCCTGGGATTTCTTCCCTGGCTCCTGGACCTGGACCTGGACCGGGACCTGACTGACCATTGGCTTCTCTGGGTTGTCAGCTTGCAGACGGCAGAGGTTTGGCTACTGTGATCTCATGAGCCGGTGCCTCGTGCTAAATCTCTTGGCAGATACAAACTGTGTGTGTGCGTGCGTGTGTGCATGTGCACATGTTGTGTGCGTGTGTGTGTGCATGTGCACATGTGTGTGCGTGTGTGTGTGCATGTGCACATGTGTGTGTGTGTGCGTGTGCATATCCTGCTGGCTCTGTTTCTCTGGAGAACTCTAACAAGAGTACTTGGACATCTACTGTCCCCGGGTGTTCTCCACCAATGGTAATTCCTGACACAGAGCATGAGAGCCACATAGTGCACAGTGTGTCCCAACAATCCCATCTCCATCAGCACTGGGTCACCCACAGTGTCACTCACAACAAGCAAGCTTCAAGAAACAGGCAGCCACTTGAGCAGTGTACCTCTTCTTACCCTGTGCCCATTCATCATGAAAGCCTAGCCTAAAACTACACCTAGCTTCTGGTTCTTTCCCCTGGGTCATCTTGCCAAAAATCACTTGTTCTTGTAAATATGACATCTTTACGGTTTAGTGACTTATCTATGATCCTCCACAACTTTGCATCATGTATGTGGCATTCTTTATATATATCTGTATATATATAAATATATAAAAGATTTATTTATTTATTTGAAAGTCAGAGTTACACACAGAGAGAAGGAGAGACAGATAGAGAGAGGTCTTTCATCCGCTGGTTCACTCCCCAACTGGCTGCAATGACCAGAGCTGCACCGACCTGAAGCCAGGAGCCAGGAGCTTCTTCTGGGTCTCCCACGCAGGTGTGTGTGCCCAAGGACTTGGGCCATCTTCTACTGCTTCCTCAGGCCATAGCAGAGAGCTGGATCGGAAGTGGAGCTGCTGGGACTTGAACTGGTGGCCATATGAGAAGCCAGCACTGCCGGCGGTGGCATTACCCACTATGCCGCATCTGGCATTCTTAACTGTTGGGTAGGCTGTGATTTTGCTGTGGACGTTGAAGACCTTCATGTAAATAAAGCGATTTGTAGCTGAACTTCGGCTGAATATCATTCAGCAACAGCATCAACCTTACCATGAATATTCTTTAGTTTGACAGACATGAGAATGTTTACAGGTAAAATCTCACCCAAGACGTGCATAGGTTCATACATGAGAAGCAAAGTAAACAAATGTGCGAGTTTCATTCAAGTCCTTTCTCTCCTTAAGTATCTCTAATTGCATTTTTGTAAGTAGTTTTTACAACATAATGCACTTCATTTTAATAGTTTTACAAAATTTTTCTTTATAAAACTTATTCAGCCTATTTCTCAATCACAGATGATTTCAGAACATGCATGTTTTTCCTAAGACTTCTGCCTTAATTTTTTCTAACTCCTATTACACAGTTCTTTCCCCTACTTTACACCAAATTTTGAAACTTTTTTTCAAAGGATTTGACATTAAATCATTAATGTAGCTTAATTCAAAGTAGTACACTAGAAACGGCTATGTGGGTTCTTCATAACTCCATAAACACCTAGATGCAGTGCTGATCTTTTTATTAACTTAAAAAATGATTTATTTTACTTGAAAGGCACAGAGAGAGAGAGAGAGAGACTTTCATTAGTTGTTTCACTCTTCAGTTAACTGCAACAGAGCAGCCAGGGCTGGGCCAGGCAGAAGCCAGGAGCCAGGGACTCCCTCCAAGTCTCCCACGTGGGTGCCAAGGAACGGCCTCCCAGGCTCATCATCAGGGGGCTGGGTGGCAAGCACAGCAGGCAGCGCTTGAAGGAGGCACTCCAACAGGGGGAGCCAGTGTTGCAAGGGGTGACTCACCCTGCTGTGCCAGACGTCCATCTGCACAGCAAACACGCGTGCATGCACGCGGCAGACACCAGACCTGAGCGCATCAGCTTCACTCCAGAGGAGCTACTCCGCCTCAGCCCACCCTCCCCAGGCTTTTCCTCGACTCTGCCCTCAGGTGACCTCCACTCTGCCCTCGGCTCCAGCCATTCTGCCCCTGGGCGACCTCGACTCTGCCCTCGGCTCCAGCCATTCTGCGTCTGGGTGACCTCAACTCTGCCCTCGGCTCCAGCCGTTCTGCACCTGGGCGACCTCGACTCCGTGCCCTCGGGTGACCTCGACTCTGCCCTTGGCTCCAGCCGTTCTGCACCTGGGCGACCTCGACTCCGTGCCCTCGGGTGACCTCGACTCTGACTTCGGCTCCAGCCGTTCTGCCCCTGGGCGACCTCAACTCTGCCCTCGGCTCCAGCCATTCCGAGTCTGGGTGACCCGGGCTTGCTCCCACCTCAGAGACCTCCCAGATGCCGTTCTCTCTGCCCCTGCAGTTCTGCTTGAATTCTGCATGCGTTGCCCCTCGTTGCACGTTGCTTCCTCCTCGGCCACGACCTTCCCATGTGGCCTCCCCAGTCACAGCACTTACAGTGCATTCTCCACGCCCTCTGCCACGATCATCCCCTTTGTGAGTGAAACCAGCGCCGTCTTAGGCTCTGGCCGGTCTCCACCTTGTACAGTAAGTGTTGGCCTCTCCAGCATCCAGGCTGGCCAACCAAAAGTCAGGTGACCAAGCGGCCCAACCACCGCATGCTAACGGGATCGGGGCTCCCACTTCCTTAGCCCTGCAAGGCTGTAACAAGACCCACTGTCCCCGCACGGCCTCGCACCCTTGCCCTCTCTCTCCAACCCCAGCAATGACCCTTCTCCCTGACTCCGGGGTTTGGTCAGCACGTCCACCCGGGTAAACTCACTTGTTTCCTGTCGCTCTCTCGCTGGAGTTCAGGGTTTCCTGTCTTTGCCTTCTGCTCTGTTCTAGCAGTGGTGCCAGAGCAGAGCCTGTCTCAGGATGGGCACGCAGGGAACACTCGCCGAATGAACGAACGGCACACACAGGTGCCGGGAGCAAGGAGCTAGGAGCCAGGCCCGGCCTCACTGGCACGGCTCCCTCGCCCTCCCACGGCTGGCCCTCCATCCCCCTGGCTGAATGGATTCCGCACATGGGCATCTTTAGGAAAAGAGGCGCAGAACAGAGAGGAGGCAGAATACGAACCTACGGCCAGACCACATTGTTCAGAGAGAAATCCGCAGAGGTGGGTGACCAACTGCCGCGTGCATATCCACGGAACACGCGGAACGTGCGGCAGGAGGCCCCGACCCCAGCGGCCCGGCCACTCTTACATGAGGGCTGAGAAGGGCTGAGCCTTTGTCTCTGCTCCACCAGCCATGGCCCAGGAGTTTCGGCACACACTTTACCCGGAACAGGCAAACAACCCCTCCGTGCCAGGGTGGAGGGCCAGGTCAGACCCTGCACTGCCGCCTTTTCTGCGGAGCTCGCTCTGGGCTTTGTCTAGGCAAAGCTTTCTAGCTTTTCGGGAAGCCCACAGGTGGAGGTACGCAGCGGGCTGCCAGGTTCCGGGGGACAGTGACTCCCCAGGGGGTCGCACAAGCTGGTGGCCTGGGACGGGCTGCCAGGTTCCGGGGGACAGTGACTCCCCAGGGGGTCGCACAAGCTGGTGGCCTGGGACGGGCTGCTGCCACTCAGCAGGCAGGAGGACGCCCGGGAGCTCCAGGCCCACAGCCTAAGGTCGGATTCTCAGCAACTAAGAATACAGGAAGCCAGGGGCTGAGGAAACGCAGGGACCCCCGGCCAACGCTGATCTCGGGCGGCTCTGAGTGTCAAGGCTCTCCGCACTTCTCGGGCGACCCCCGCCACGGAAGAAAGACGCAGGCCTGGATAGCCGCCTCACAGCGGCGGGGGCACCGCCACGGCCTGCAGGGCCTGCAGGGAGCGGACGCCCACGCCCCGCTCCGGGTGCGGGCCCAGGGCTTGCAGGCTACCAACTCCAGGGTGATGCTGCTGTCATTTGGGGACTACGCTTGGGAAGCACCGCCCCCCGCAGTAAAGGCCTTCCTCCGCGACCCCGCTTCGCCCCAGCAACGGGGGCTGGGACTCGGGAGGGAAAGCGGGACGGGGAAGCCGGACGGCGCCCCTCCTCCAGGGGCTTCCTTGCCGCTAGGGCGCCCGGCTCCGAGGCACTTCCGGGTCCCCTCTAGGCGCCGCGGAGGTCCGGCCGTCTCGGTGGTCGCGCGGGCCGGGGCGTGGCCCGGAGGAGGCGTGGCCGGAGGCGGGCCGAGGCGCCGCGAGCGCTCTTGTGCCGGACGTTGCGCGGCCGCGACGCCTGGTGCCAGCGATGGGTGCGCGTCTCTCCCTGGCCGGAGCGGGCAGGCGTCGGGCCGCTTGCGCCGCAAGCGAGGCCCTGGCCTGAGTGCGGGAGCAGCGGCGTCTGGCGCTGCGCTTTCTCGGCGGCGCCCAGCGTCCGCCCTTGTGGCGGCGCACGGACGGTGAGGACAATGGGCCTGCGAGCACCGAGCTCCGGGGCCGCTAGGGGGCGCTCCCGGGGTGAGGCCGCGGCTGGCGGAGTAAGGGGCGGGGCGGGGCAGGGGCGGGGCAGGGGCGGGTCCAGCCTTGGCGGGATGGACATTGGGCAGTCAAGGTGGGTGGGCGTGGCCGGGCTCAGCTCAAGATGTGGGCGGGGCCTGGCTGGAGAGGAATAGCTGGGGGGTGTGGCTACGGAGAACGCAGGCGGGGGCGGGGCCTGACCGAGGAGGTGGGTGCTGTAGGCGGGCCTGAACACGGGGGGCGGGGTTGTGGGGCGGGGCCTGGCTACGGAGAGCGGGGCGTCCGGCCTTCTGCTGCCTCCCCTCTTTGGCATCCCTGGGACTCTGTTTCCTGTTTTTCTTTTGATGCAAGATGGGCAGTAGGCAGGCTACCCGTGTTCCACACTGGCCTCTCCTGAGCCGGTTTGCATCTGGCGTTGAAGGATTTACATTTATAAGTTACTTTTTAAAAATAATTTTCATCTTGAAATAATTTTATAAAGTTGCAAGGCTAGTGCAAAGAATTCCCCACCTGCGGTTCACGCGGGTCGCGGGTTGCTTCGCCAGCGGGGTCATCTCGGGGCCTGCTGGAGCCGGTCTGCCAGTCGGCCGTGCTGTTGGTGGCCCAGCATCTGTGCCCAGCAGGCCCTGCCCTCTCCCCAAGGGCCTGAGCATAGCATAGCCCCGAGTTGGGTGCTTTCTCCTTGCCAGGGTCCTGGTCAGGTGTGAGCGTCCTCTGGGCCCCCTGGCCTCTGCCCTGACCAGGCCCCCTGGCCTCTCAGGTGCTGGCTCTGGGCTGCTCCCTGGGTGATCTGTGTGTGACTCCAGCCGGGCTTCTCGGTGGCCCAGGCCCATGGAGCCCGAGCTCAGCCTGCAGCCGGCCTCTGTTGTCTCATTGATTCTGCCTGTGTGCTCCTGGCCTGGCCTTCCATCTGCACACTGTGCTGCCTGTCAGAGGAGCTTGCTGAAGGTATGGACCTGGCAGTCACGCTCTTAGGATAAACACGGGGTCCCTGATGGAGCCTGGGGTCCCCGATGGAGCCTGGGGGCCTGGATGGAGCCTGGGGTCCCCGATGGAGCCTGGGGTGCCTGATGGAGCCTGGGGTGCCCGATGGAGCCTGGGGTGCCTGATGGAGCCTGGGGTGCCCGATGGAGCCTGGGGTGCCCGATGGAGCCTGGGGCCCCGGATGGAGCCTGGGGTCCCCGATGGAGCCTGGGGTCCCCGATGGAGCCTGGGGGCCCGGATGGAGCCTGGGGTCCCTGATGGAGCCTGGGGGCCCTGGATGGAGCCTGGGGTCCCTGATGGAGCCTGGGGCCCTGGATGGAGCCTGGGGCCCTGGATGGAGCCTGGGGTCCCCGATGGAGCCTGGGGTGCCCGATGGAGCCTCAGGGCCCTGGATGGAGCCTGGGGTCCCCGATGGAGCCTGGGGGTCTCCGATGGAGCCTCGGGGCCCTGGATGGAGTCTCGGGGCCCTGCCAGCTGCTCCAGACTTCTTTGTCCCTCGGGTTCCTCCTGTGGCCCGGCCGGCTTAGCCATCTCTTCCTGTGCTGTTCATCCTCTCTGGGGTGCTGTCCCCCCCACACTCAGGCATTGTTCTTCCTGTGGCCCTGCCCAGTCATCCGCTCCTCGGGGAACTGCCCTGCCCTCCCTCGCTGTGCAGATCTGGCCTTGCTGCCACCCCTTAGGAGCCCAAGAGCACACAGGCACCTGCAGCCGGGGCCCCACCTGGTGGCTGATGGGAGGGGTCCTCAGGGCTGCTGCACGGTGGCTCAGGGCCCCTGCCCGCGACGGCTCAGACGGCAGCTGACCTCCTGGAGTGACCGAGGGCAGAGAACGAGCAGCTTAGGAGCCCCAGTCCTGGGCGTCTGCTCCCACCACTGGGCCGCACTGTCTGTCAGCAGTGAGCGAGGCGGCCTGCTTAGGAGGAGGGCGCAGGGCTGTAAGCACCAGTGGGTGGGGGTGTCTCTGGGCTCTGTCTTAGAGACCAGCTCTGCGGAGCTGTTGGACGTTCGATGAAGTTAGGTGTAGGGTTAAGTTGAGGTATTTCCTTCAAGAAGGACTCCCCTGTTCTGGGGTCATGTATATATTTTATTTTTGCATTTTCATAATTAGTTCTTTACAAGTTTAGGATTTCGTTGTAACAGAGCAGCCGCACATGACTGTTTACCACAGAGCTGATGACGCTCGTCTAGAATGGGAAGCTCACTGTCACGTGTCGGACGTGGTGGCGTCACGGCTTCCTGCCCTCGCAGGGAGCTCCACGGGCAGCGCTGATCTGGAACAGCCGTCATCACCAGGGCCGACTTTGTCTCCCGGGGCATCTGGCGACGTCTGGGAAAGCGTTTGGAATTGGCAGCTAGGCGGCCGTGTTGCGGCGGCCATTCCGTGGTGCCCAGGACCGGACACGGACATGGCAGACGCCCCGGCGGTGCCGACTGCGAGAAGGTGCCCAGGTATGTTGTCTGAGGCGCCGGCGAGGACCGGGAGCTGCTTCCTGTGTCTGCCCAGCCCCTCCCTCTGGCGGTGGGGCCCTGAGGCTCCTGTGCTCGCCTGTGAGTGGTGGGCAAGACCCCGCTGTGCCGCTGGTGGAGACGTGAGCTTTGAAGTGGACTTTCACCGTCTTACAGATGCGTGGACTCTGGGCAGGGCAGCCTCGTCTTCCAAGTTCACCATGGCCTCAGCCTCGAGGTAGGAGTGTGCCTGGGACGTTGTTAGCCCCTGGTTCTCGTCTCACTAAACCGCTGGTGTCCACGGGGCTTAATAAAGGAGGCAGGCGGGGGTGGGGGAGGGAGAGGGAGTGACAGAAGGCGAGGCTGATGGGAGTGCGGCACCCATGTGTCCACAGACGTGAGAACATGGTGGACACAGCAGGTTTCCATGGCCAGGGTTGGGACAGCCACGTGCAGACAGGGTTGACAGTCTGGGGAGAGCAGGGGCTGGGACGTTAGGGCCGCAGAAGCCCTGGTCTGTGGGCCCGAATCCGCCCCGTGAAGCCGAGGCGGCTGGGCCGGGAAGGTGTGAAGACGGCTCCTGGGCCCACAGAAAGGCTCTCGGCTCTCCCCTCCCCTGCTGGCCACGCACAGCTCAGGTGGGCACATCGCTGTGTCCCTGAGGTCAGTCCCGGGGATGGCGGAGTCAGCGTTGGGAGGGGAGGCTGGAGTGGGTCAGCACTTCCTGGTGCGCTGCAAGGTTCACGCCAGGGCTGGAGGGGCCCAGCGAGGGCCCAGGCGGGGGACAGCAGTGGGCGCTGCTCCGGTGACCGGCGTCCCGCGGCCGTCACCCTTCTCCCGGCTGATGACTGACAGCAGCCCCCGGGTTCAGCGCCAATTTGTAAAGCAGGAAAGGAAGCAGATGCCTGCTTAGATGGCCTCTGCCTCCAAAGCCTGCCCTGTTCGGCCCCGCGCCGGGCCTGGTGCCGGGCCTGGTGCTGCCAGGCCTGTGAGGCTGCCGCTGGACGCAGCCCTGGCTCTGGGAATGGCCCTCCTGACCCTTCCTGTTGCTGCAGAGGTGTCACTTCTGGGAGCGGGGCCCGCCGCAGGGCGAGGGCCGCTAAGCTGCTGGAGGTGCTGAGCGCCCTGGAGGAGGAGGAGTCTGGCCCCGACAGGGAGGAGATTTTCATCGCCCCACCCGACAACGCCTCGGGGGACTTCACGGACGAGGACTCGGGGGACGAGGATGGCCGGCCAGGGGCTCAGCTGCCGGGCAGCGTGCTGCACGCCTCTGTGGTGTCCGACCACTCTGGCAGCAGCGAGGAGGACGGAGCCCCAGAGCTGCAGCCGGCCGGCGAGAGGCAGAAGGCGGGGGCGGAGCCGCAGCGCGTGTGGACCAAGAGAGACATCCGGCCGGACTTCGGCAGCTGGCCGGCCTCGGATCCTCACATGGAGGACCTCAAAAGCCAGGAGCTGAGTCCCGTGGGCCTCTTTGAGTTGTTCTTTGACGAAGGAACCATTAACTTCATTGTCGACGAAACCAATCGTTACGCCTGGCAGAAGAACGTGAACCTGGGCGTCACCGCTCAGGAGCTGAAGTGTATTTTGGGCATCTTGATTCTGAGCGGCTACGTCTCCTATCCGAGGAGAAGGATGTTTTGGGAAACCTCTCCCGACTCGCATCACCATCTCGTGGCTGATGCCATCAGGAGGGACAGGTTCGAGCTGGTTTTCTCCTACCTGCACTTTGCAGATAACAGCGAGCTGGACGAGAGCGATAGGTTTGCCAAGGTCAGGCCCCTCATCGTCCGCATGAACGGCAACTTCCAGAAGCACGCGCCCCTGGAGGAGTTCTACAGCTTCGGGGAGTCCATGTGCGAGTACTTCGGGCACCGCGGGTCCAAGCGGCTGCGCTCCGGGAAGCCCGTGCGCCTCGGCTACAAGATCTGGTGCGGCACGACCAGCCGGGCTACCTGGTGTGGTTCGAGCCCTCGCAGGGCACGCTGTTCACAAAGCCGGGCAGGGGCCTGGACCTCGGCGGCAGCATGGTCATCAAGTTTGTGGACGCGCTGCAGGAGCGCGGCTTTCTGCCCTACCACATATTGTTTGACAAGGTCTTTACAAGTGTCAAACTGATGTCCATTTTGAGGAGAAAGGGAGTGAAAGCCACAGGAACCGTGCGTGAGTACAGGACTGAGCAGTGCCCCCTCAAAGACCCCAAGGAACTGAAGAAAATGAAGCGGGGTTCATTCGATTACAAAGTCGACGAGAGCGAGGAGATCATCATGTGCCGCTGGCACGACAGCCGCGTGGTCAACATTTGCTCCAACGCCGTGGGCATAGAGCCAGTGAGGCTGACCAGCCGGCACGCGGGGGCGGCCAAGACGCGGACGCAGGTGCACCAGCCGTCGCTGGTGAAGCTGTACCAGGAGAAGGTGGGAGGCGTCGGCCGGATGGACCAGAACATCGCCAAGTATAAGGTGAAGATCCGCGGCATGAAGTGGTACTCAAGCTTCATTGGCTACGTCATCGATGCCGCCCTCAACAACGCGTGGCAGCTGCACAGGATCTGCTGCCAGGACGCCCAGGTGGACCTCCTGGCCTTCCGGAGATACGTGGCCTGCGTGTACCTGGAGAGCAATGCGGACACGTCCTCGCAGGGCAGGCGCAGCAGGCGGCTGGAGACGGAGAGCCGCTTCGATATGATCGGGCACTGGATCATCCACCAGGACAAGAGGACCCGGTGCGCCCTCTGCCACTCCCAGACCAACACCCGCTGTGAGAAATGCCAGAAGGGTGTCCATGCCAAGTGCTTCCGGGAGTACCACATTCGGTGACGCCTTGGCCTGCTTGTTGGACTTTGTGGTTGTGGCGAGATACTTGCAGCATTTCTGTGCACCACTTGCAGCACTTCTGACCCAGTTGTGTCGAGAAAAGACCCGAATCCCGGCTGACTGGGTTTTGTATTTCCTCCTGCCCTGTAAACAGTGCTGTGTTTTACTGTGTTCTATCATGATGCATGATGTCATTAATATTTACATTAATACTCTTAAGTGTTAGCAAATCTGTGTTTTGTACTGTTATTTATTTAAACTTATTCAAGTAAAAGTCTTGCTTTGGGATGTATTTGAGTTCCCAGTGAAGATTATCAAAGAAAAATTTGCATGAACAATAAAAATCTTTTACCATTGTATGTCATGATTTAACAATTTTTTCAAAAGATTCATTTATTTGTTTTTTTTTTTAAATTTTATTTATTTGAAAGACATGAGTTACAGAGAGAAGTAGAGACAGAGAGAGAGAGAGAGAGAGAGAGAGGTAGGTCTTCCATCTGCTGATTCACTCCCCAAATGGCCATGATGGCTGGAGCTGAGCTGATCTCAATCCAGGAGCCAGGAACTTCTTCCACATCTCCCACATAGGTGCAGGGGCCCAAAGACTTGGGCCATCCTCTGCTGCTTTCCCAGGCACATTAGCAGGGAGCTGGATTGGAAGTGAAGCAGCCGGGACTTGAACCAGCACCCATATGGGATGCTGGCATTGCAGGCAAACGCTTTAACCTGCTGCGCCACAGCATCAGCCCCCAAGATTCATTTCTTTGAAAGGAAGAGTGACGAAGAGCAAAGCAGAGAGAGTTTCCATCTGTGGGTTTACTCCTGAAATGGCCACAACAGCCAAGTCTGGCCCATGCTGAAGCCAAGTTCCAAGAGCTCCATCTGGGTCTCCCAGGTGGGTAGTAGGCACCCAAGAACTTGGGCTGCTCTCTGCCTCCCAGGTTGCACATTAGTAGGAAGTTGGATCAGAAGCACGGACAGGACCCACACTGGCACTCCGATAGGAAATGTGGGTATCCCTAGCAGTGGCTTAACCCACTGAACCACATGCTTCCCTGTGATTAAGTTGGAGGCGATGGTTAAGAAGTATAACATGGGCTGGTGCTGTGGCTCAATAGGCTAATCCTTCGCCTGCGGCACTGGCACCCTGGGTTCTAGTCCCGGTTGGGGCTCTGGATTCGGTCCCAGTTGCTCCTCTTCCAGTCCAGCTCTCTGCTGTGGCCTGGGAAGGCAGTGGAGGATGGCCCAAGTACTTGGGCCCTGCACCCGCATGGGAGACCAGGAGGATGCACCTGGCTCCTGGCTTCGGATCAACGCGGTGTGCCAGCCAGAGAGGCCATTGAGGGGTGAACCAATGGAAAAGGAAGACCTTTCTCTCTGTTTCTCTCTCTCACTGTCCACTCTGTCAAAAAAAAAAAAAAAGTATAACATGATGAAGGATTTCTGTTCACATTTCAACAACTTCTAGAGCGCTAAGCCAAGGCTGTCAAACTTCAGGGATAGGTAACTTGCTATGTGTTTATTCAGAGAACTAGAGCTGCAGGATTCATGTTTCCTGATAAAGATATTTTTCTTATACACATGTATTCATGTGGAATCCATTTTTATAACCAGCATGATGTAAGAATCTATTTTTCCTCCCAGGTGGGTGGCTATTGACAATTACATGTATTTAACCACTGCTTTAAATTCCACCTTTATAAATTCCCATGTTTAAGGGGAATGTTTTGGGACAAGGGAATATTTTTATGTATGAAAACCTGGTGAAATGAAGAAAGAAAGGGAAATAATGCAGGGCCAGTGCCGTGGTGCAGTAGGTTAATCCTCCACCTGTGGAACCGGCATCCCACATGGGCGCCGGTTCTAGTCCCGATGGCCCCTATTTCAGTCTCTGCTATGGGCTGGGAAAGCAGTAGAAGATGGCCTAAGTCCTTGGGCCCCTGCACCTGCCTGGGAGACCGGGAAGAAGCACCTGGCTCCTGGCTTCAGATCAGCACAGCTCTGGCCATTGTGGCCATCTGGGGAGTGAACCAGTGGAAGGAAGACCTCTCTGTCTCCCCTCTCTCTGTCTGTAACTCTACCCCTCAAATAAATAAATAAAATCCTAAAAAAACAAAACCAAAACCAAAAAGAGAAATAGTGTAAAATCTAAGAGAGCATGTTGAATGTCTTCTTTCTGGGTAAGAACTTTTTTTTTAATAACAGTAGATAAAAGAGGACCCATCAGTAGGTTTACCGATACACAGCTGAAAGATTGGGGTGGGTGTTGTATTGCTGTGGACTGAACCACCACTTGAGACCTCCACATTCTGTCTCAGAGTGCTGGGTCAGTACCAGCTCCTCTGCTTCCTGCTGATGTAGCTGGAAGCAGATGATGGCTTAGTGTTTGGGCTTCTGCCACCCACATGGGAGACCTGGATGGAGCTCTGGGCTCATGGCTTGGGCCTGACCCTGCTCTGGCTGTGTGGGCATTTGGAGAGGTATTCAGTGATAGAAGATATTCATTCTCTCTCTCTGCCTTTCAAGTAGGTGGAAATCAGCAGTTTTTAAAATGCTGTGAGATTTATTTTCATTAACAAAATTAAAATGCAAAGACATTGGGAAAATATACTCTAAATCACATTTGTGATACCCAAAGTGAAAAAGACCTCATAAACACATAGATGGCATAAAAAAAGTGCAGTGCTATATAAAAAGTCAAATGTTGAAGAATGGACAGGGTGAGACCCTGGAGCAATAACTGTGACGTCACAAGCAGTCCTGGATACCCGTTTTTCATCAGATGCGTTTGTCACAGATCATCAGTGGCACTGTGGGGCCGGGAAGCCGGCAGACTCCTGTAGTACCCGAGGGAGTGTAACTCTGTCCCTTTCTGGAGGCAGCTTAGTGAGGTCTGCCCCAAATCTCGTAAAACAAACTGTGAACAATACCCCATTTTCCCCTTTCCCCAACACTGGCAGCCCCATCCTGCTCTGCTTCTGTGAGACTGAGTCTTCAGACACCGCATGTGAGTGGAATCCTACCTTATTTCACCTAGGGTAATGCCCTCGAGATTCAGCCATGTGTGGCACATGGCAGGGTTCTGTTCTTTTACAGGCTAAACCATCTGTGTGGTATATGATGCATTTTCTTAGTTCATTCACCTGTCGAGGGACACCTGGTGGCTGATGTAAATATGTTGCTGTGAACACACATGGGAAAATCTCCCATCCACACCCAGCTTTCAGTTCTCTGCACCTGTCCCCAGTAGGAGACGACTGCATCTTTCTATCTCAGTTCTATTTTAAAGTTTTTGAGGAGCCTCCATGGTTCCCCACAGCGTCCACACCGCTTTCCGTTCCCACCTGCAGGGCTCTGGCTTCTGCACACGCTCACCAGCACTTGTTATTTTCTCTTCTGTAGGCAGTGGCCATCCTAATAGGTATGAGACGTTGTCCTTGAGGTTTTGATTGACAATTGGCTGTTCATTAGTGATATTTTTCTTATGCTCATTGGCCATTTTTACATCTCCTTTAGAGAAATGTCTATTCAGTCCTTTGCCCATTTTAAAATTATTTGTTGTTAAGTTGTAGGCATTCTTTATATATTCTATTAACCTCTTATTAAAGGAATTGCAGATATTTTCCCCCATTGTGTAGATTCCCTTCCACTCTATTTATTTTAGATGCATAAAAAACCTTTAAAAATTTGGATTAACATGTAAGAATTGTATACTTATGGGGTACAGTGTGATATTTCAACATTCAACACATATAAACATTGTGTACTGATCAAATATGGGTCATTACCATTTCTATCTCCTTATGTGTTCTGTGTTTGAAGCCTTCCAGGCCCTCTCTTCTAGTTAATAACATATATACTAGATTATGGTGAACTGCGGTCACCCCACTGTGCCTTGGACACTGACGTATTTCTTCTATTTGTGTTTTGGTAGCTGTTCTCCAAGCCCCTAATGCCTCCCTCCCCACCTACCCTTTCTAGCCTTAGCAATCACTACTCTATGTTCAGACTGACTTTTCAGCTTCTACTTAGGAGGGAGAACATGTGAGACCTTTCTGTGTCTGCCTTATTTGCTGGTTCACTCTTCAAATGGCCACAACAGCCAGGCCTGGGACAGTCTGAAGCCAGGACCCTGGAACTCCATCTGGGTCTCCCACGTGGACTGCAGGGGTCCAAGTATTGGGCCATTATCTACTGCTTTCCCAGGCACATCAGCAGAGAGCTGAAACAGAAGTGAGAAGCTGGGACTTGAATTAGCGGTCCGGTATGGGGTGCCAGTGTCTCGAGCAGCACCTTAACCCCTGTGCCACGGTGTCAGCCCCTTAAACACTTTTTTTATGAGGCCAGCTTGGTGGTGATGAATTCAGTTTTTGTTTGTCTTAGAAATTATTTCTCCTTCAGAAACGAAGGATATTCTTGCTGGATTTCATATTCTTGGTTTGCAGATCTTGGAATATGTAATTGCATTTGCTCCTGGTCTGCAAGGTTTCTGCTGAGCAATCTGCCCTCAGTCCAGGGATGGCTCACCTAAATGTGATTCGGCACTTTTAGAATTGTCTTGCGCTCTTGAAGTTTGTAACATGGCATGGTTTAGATTTTCATCTGGTCTTTCTGTTTGAGGCCCCACATCTCTCCTGCCCTGCTTGTACACACCTGCTCCAAGGTTGAGCAAGTTTCTAGCGATTCTTCCAATAACTGTGCCTGACCCTAGATACACACCCCTGCTCCAAGGCTGGGAAAGTTCCAAGCTGTTCTTACAGTGAATGGGTTTTCTGTGCCTGTCCCCTTAGCCTTCTGTGTCCCCAAATGTGAACATTTGCTCATTTAATGGTACCCTGAAGATCCCAGAAACTATTATTCCCCCCCCTTTTTAATTTTTTTTTTTAAATTTTTGACAGAGTGGACAGTGAGAGAGAGAGACAGAGAGAAAGGTCTTCCTTTTTGCCGTTGGTTCACCCTCCAATGGCCACCGTGGCCAGCACACTGCGGCACATCACACTGATCTGAAGCCAGAAGCCAGGTGCTTCTCCTGGTCTCCCACGCGGGTGCAGGGCCCAAGCACTTGGGCCATCCTCCACTGCCCTCCCGGGCCATAGCAGAGGGCTGGCCTGGAAGAGGGGCAACCGGGACAGAATCCGGCGCCCTGACCGGGACTAGAACCCGGTGTGCCGGTGCCGCAAGGCAGAGGATTAGCCTAGTGAGCCGTGGCGCTGGCCATCCCCTTTTTAAAAAAAGGTTTTTGCTGTGGCCAATGCTGTGGCATAGTAAACTAAGCCTCCCCCTGTAGTGCTGGCATCCCACATGGGTGCTGGTTTGTGGCCCTGCTGCTTCTCTTCTGATCCAGCTTTCTGCCTATGGC